TCTGAAGGGAATGCGCCCCCGATCTACATAAATGCGTCTATGTTCACGCGAATCATTCGTGATCCAGCTTCACCTACAGAAGAAGTGAGTGTAATGTTTTGTAATGAATCTTTGCAAATCGCCTTTCCTAATAATGTGCTAATTAGCTAGTTTCATGATGAATGCGGCTAAAGTAAGCAGTGGAAGAGAGGGGCGGGGTCAGCAGAGCTCATTAACATTTAAAGGAAAATGACAAAAACGGCTTGATCTGAAAAGAGCTGTTTTTGACAGGGTAAAAAAGGTGTAGTTATACACTACCATTGAGAACTTTTAACCAAACAATGTTACAGTCTTTTCATTAAGACCCTAAAGAATCATAATCATATCAACTTGTGGAAAATGGGCATCCTATGACCCCTTTAAGGGAGGATTTGAATGCTGAAAAGTGAAACAATTGTCTCTGAAGACGAAAACAGTCAACTTCAAAAAGATGTGATGCACAGGTCCAAAATAAGACTTGAATGACATTAATAACTTTTACTCAAGAAACAAAAAGAAAAAAGTCGGAGAGTGGCCTAATGCAAACAAAATAGCAACTGCAGTCCATAGAACAACATTTGCATGAGAGAACGAGAGAAACGAGAGAAGTTAGTTGAGGCCAGAGAGAGAACTCCCAGTCCAGCGGATCAAAACATGAGCATCATTCCCCTGATGTTTTCACATCTTTACAACTACACAAAGTAAGATTATAGAACTATATAGATATTTTAACTCAGTAGTTAGTCCTATTAAAAGTGCCAATTAAATTGGGCTAGAATTGAATATGCAAATTTCCTGTTAGACCCTTCATAAAACAGCTGATATGCGTAATTTTTATTATAGCATCTGAGCACAATGAGGAAAAAGATGGAGAAGCATAGATGGAATATCATTGAATCACAACAGGATGACTTTAAATGTGTGAGACAGGACAGCATGAAATCAGATCCGCCCAGTTGTAAGAAATCTATGATTTGTTTCACTTACAGCTTGCGAATAGTTTAAATTGAAGAATTGACTTTAATCAATAATGCAAGATATTATAAGCCTGACAAAAAATGTGTTTCCAAGGTGTTACATTAACTTTCCCCCAAAATAATAAAGTAGCCTACTGGCAGATCTTTACACACTTTTAGATATTTAGCAGCATTAATGAATTAATGCTTATTAATGCTAATAATAGTGTTGAGATGGCAAGGAATGATGAAGAATGATAAATATCTGGGTATTTGTTCTTCATTTATTTTGAAAGCCTGTTTACATTAAAAAAAATCTTGTTTTTTATACTTTTGAATGGCAATATTGGATAGTAGGCCTAGTGTTTTATTTTAAATACTATGAGTAGCTCTTTCTTTCAAATGACTTCTGTTCATTGGATCAGCACACTTGTAGGCTGCTCATCTATAGAGTGACAATGTCAAATAATAGTGTTAATGTAACTAATCTAGTGATGTACCTGCAGGTTGAGTATAATTTTGTAGTCAGTGTGTGAAATACCTGTGATAAAAGCTGGGAGGGTAAATATCAAGTACAGTTATATGGTCTAATATCACCATCTAGTGAAAGCACCATATAGTTACTCAGCCTAAAGCTGTTCCAAACCCTTATGACTTCTGTGTAACATAAAAGGAAAGATCCCTGTGACTGTGCTATTTTATTTATACTCACATGAGCATGCAATAACTACATAATAATAAATAAAAATAAATGAAAATGGAAGGGCATCACAAACACTGCGGTCAAGCCAGCCGCACTTCAGAAAAACACGGTCAAGCCAGCCACGAGTGAAATTATGGTGCGCGTGTATTACTATAATTACAGTAATTTCACTACCGGCTGGTTTGACCGTGTTTTTCTGAAGTGCGGCTGTCTTGACCCGCAGTGAAATTCAGCACCGTCGCAGTGCAGACTGATAGGCCTTGAACACACACATAACTTAGACTGTGTGTGGTTAAAATAGAATGAACATTAGCCTACATTACATAGATCCAGACTGCTGCTCCGGATCCTGGTGTGATTCACAAACTAACAGGCAAGAACAGCTTTTCCTTTCACTTTCGATATAAAAAAGGATGCTGATGTTTGCTTTGGGGTTGTTATGGCCGTGTACGCTGTTTCACATATATATATATATGGGATATATTCCCTAAATAACCGTTTTTGTTGATACTTGATTCTTTTGTTGATTTTGTCACAGAAAGCGCAGTGTTGCCAGATTTTGCATGAGTCAGAGTTTTGAATTATAGAGAAAGAATTGCTAAGTCATTCATGAGCATAGGAAACATAAAAACAGAGACAGCATCAAATTAGCAAGGCCAAATAATGTGTTTTAATCATTATAATTAAGGTAAGACATTGCAGGCTAAAACATTGTTGTTGTTTTTTTAATGCATTAGTCAATTATGAGATTTTGGCAATTTGGTTTTTAATAAAGTGCTGTTTCAGACTAGCACTATTGTCGATGTGCACCTGTAGATTTCAGTTTCACTTCATATCTTTAACCCTTTAACTGTCACTCACATTTTTGAACATAGACGTGAAAGTGCACGATCCAAACTTATTTTTTTATAATTCATGAACGAAAACATTTTGTAACATGATATCGATGTACCATTTTCATGGCAATGCAATGTTTGATTTTAAAATGGGTTTCAAAGGATGAATTTTGAGTTTTAAAGCTTTCAATTGATATATAATTTCTGATGATTTCTAAAGTGTGATAGAGAAAAAGGCAACAAAGAAGACTTTTTTTGACAAAGGTCAGAACTCCTGTTATGATGTAGATTTTTGAGGTGCACTCTTGTCATAAATTAATCTATTACTTTTCCTACATAATTTGTAACAAAAACATTGGTAAAATATATATTTAGGAGTCTTAGACCTTTCCAATTATATATAGTTTGTCATGATTAGATTAGGATTTAATTGTAATATAGTGAAGTAAACTTAGGCGTCCCACAGAGGGGACGGGTGACAGTTAAAGGGATTATGAGATTTTGGCAATTTGGTTTTTAATAAAGTGCTGTTTCAGACTAGCACTATTGTCGATGTGCACCTGTAGATTTCAGTTTCACTTCATATCTTTAAAGGCCATTAGTTTTTTACATATATCATTCACACTAATTTATATGTGATTTATATGAGATTTTATTCCTAAAAACATGGTGATACACACACACACACACACACACACACACACATACACATATATACATATATATATATATATATATATATATTCTGATTTATGGATTGACAAAAAGAAAAATATCCCAAATCTCCTTTGTAAAAATCTTTAACTCATATGAACAAAATGAAACAAGAATTTTGAACCTGGCTTTATCCAATGTTCAGATAAATTCTGGAAATGTATGCAAATTAGTGCATATTTAATAGGGTTATATCTAATTTGCATAGCTAAACATGACCTTTTAGAAAACTTGTAATACAAAAAAACTAAGGTTGTTTTATTGTTATGATTATCCTGCTCAACTGAACTCTTGTCATTTCAGGCAAAAATCATTGATCATTGTGACATGACTGTATTTTTACTTGCAGGAGAAAATGGGGGCGTCAGAGGTGAGTCATATTATTTATAGTAATTCTAATTATATATTAATGTAATAATGTTATATTATTTACAATAATTAAATGGATAGTTCACCTTCTGTTGCTGGTCCCCACTGACTTCCATGGAAAAAAAACACTATGCAAGTCAATGGGGACCAGCAACAGAAGGTGAACTATCCCTTTAAATTTATAATAATTTTGATACAGTTTACCATATTCAGCTTTATGACCTCCATAAGTAATTCACATTCATAGAGGATGCAGTTGTTTATAATAATAAATAAAAGGTTGTGATACAGTTATTCTGCTGTTTTACTTATTTGCATTTGTTCATAGCAGATGCTTTGATCCAATGTGACTTACAAATAGAACTTCTTTTTCACAAAACATTTGGACTTTTTCAGAGAAGCTAAAACATTTAAGATTTTGATGCTGAATGTGAGGAAAATAATAAACTGAGAAAAAAATGGACAGAATTAGAAGATATAAAAAATGAAGCTATATATTTCCAAAGCTAGAGAGATGATAATGTGAATCATTATCATCTCTCTAGCTTTGGAAATATATTTGCATTCCTTCAGCTCAAATAGGGCATTACACTAGGTCACGGGTTCAGTGACAATAATGTCTATTCCCGTGAGCACACAGAGATGAATATATACTTTGAAGTGAATCTGTGAGAAGCAAAGTATAAAAAATCTTGTAAAAATACCATTTTAATGTCGCATCATACAGTCGCATACAAGTGCTCTATCTGAGGCAAGAAAGAGGGAGCTGGAGAGAAAAGAGAGAGAACTGAACAAAACAGCCATGGAACTGGATAGAAGAGCGATGGAACTGGATAAAAGTGCAATGGATCCAGATATGAGAGAGGGAGACCTGGAGAGAAGGGAGAAAGAACTGAAGCAAAGAGAAACAGAACTGGATAAAAGACTGATGGACCTGTAGAGAACTGTTTGGTGCTGGTTTACAAGAGAGATGGAACAAGATATTAAAGAGACAGAACAGGAGAAAACAGCGATGGATCCAGATATTAGAGTGAGACAACCAGAGAAAAGAGTGATTGAACCCTATATTAAAGAGAGAGAACTGGAGAAAAGAGCAATGGAACTGGATAGAAGAGCGATGGACATGCATGTGGAACTGAATAGAAGAGGGATGGAAATGGATATTAGACAGAGAGAAATTGAGAAAAGAGCGGAGAGAAGACAGACTGAACTGGATAAAAGACTGATGGACCTGCATGTAAGGCAATATAAGCTGTATATAAGAAACAGAGAAGAAATGGAACTGGATGGAAGAGAGATAGAACTGAAGAAAAGAGAGATGGAACCAGATATTAGAGAGATAGAAATGGAGAGAAAAGACATGGAACTGTATATTAGAGAGAGTGAACTGGATAGAATAGAGAGCGAAATGGAGAGAAAAGAGATGGAACTGGATAGAAGAGAGAGAGAACTGGATAGAAGAGAGAGAGAACTGGATAAAAGAGCGAGCGAAATGGAGAGAAGAGAAACTGAACTGGATAAAAGAGAGAGCGAACTGGATAGAAGGCCTGAAGGAATGAAACCTGTGCGAACTAGCAGCAATGAGTTAGACCATCCTAACAGTAAGAATTATGTTATTTATGCACAGTTTGATTGATGCATGCATGTGATGATAGAAGATCATGAAATAATTATAATTTCATCTGATACACCAAACTTGACATTCATTTTGAGGTCAGACCACACACTGGACTTCCTAAGATAAGATAATGAACAGTTTTATCAAATCATTACTCATGATGCATAATGATGACTACATCTCAAGTAGACTTACAAAAGATCTACTGTATATTGTTACTCATTGTTGGGAGTAACATACTGTACATTACATCATCAGATTGATATTTTTGAAGTAACATGTAAAGTAACATGTTCCCCTATTTTAAACTTACACTATAATACCTAATACTGTAATTTAATAAATAAGTAGCACACATTCAGTACACATTCATCTTCTCGTTACCACAGCGCTGTTACATAGACATATGCAATGCATGCTTTGAGTGAAATAGTGAGGTTTTTCCTCTTTGTTGATCCAATTTGCTTTCAAATCTATACTAATAATGTCATCTAATGACAAAAGAGTCATTGTAAACACTTTACGGTGCTATATACACATTTGAATGCAAAGTAATAGTAACACAATAATGTAACATTACATTTAAAGGGGTCATATACTGAGAAACCAAAATTCCTTTGATCTTTTGACATGTAAGAGGTCATTGACATTGTAATATAAAAACATCCTAAAAGTTTCAGAACTCAGAACTATCTCGTTAGTCTAAAAACAGCTTATATGGAAGACAGTCTGCCAAAATGACAGCTTGTGGAATGTTCTACTCCAGGGGTCTCCAAACTTTTTCATTCGAGAGCTACTTTTTAAAAATGAAAGTGGCTGAGAGCTACCCATGTTATATAATACTTAACTTTCTTAAATAATGTATCAGTTTAAGTGTTATACATAACTTGTTAAAAAATGTTCAAAAAGTACTGATACACACACTGAAATCATTTCATCAAGTTTTATGTCGAAAACCAACAAAAGTAGCTGCACTATGCACTTTTTGTTTGCATAAACATTGAAATAAAAACATTAAAAATGATGGCCAGTTTTTAAACGAACAAAAAATATTCATAACATGTTCTGCTGACATCTAAAATGTGTTCAAAAAAAGTTTTGACCAAAAGAAAAAAAGTTTTCATAAAATGATAAACCTCACATTTCAGCCTTTAAATATTTTTTATATATAAAAGGATTAGTCAGAATGATCAATTATATTTTATCTGCTCCATAAACAGTTCTACATCAGCTAATATGCTTTCTAAAAATCTCAACACTTCAGATAATTATAAAATTATAAATCCACTGTTTGACAGCAGGTGGTGCATAACAGCTGAAATAGAGTGGTTTCGTTGCACTTATAAGTACTGCGTTATTGCGCATTACAAGGTAGGAAGATGAGAAGAAAATGCTGTTGAAACTTTTCTGAAGACAGCTGGTTCCTCCTTATGCATTCATACAATTAATTCAATCATACATTCTTTCAAATAATTTCTCTCAACAGTCTGCTTTGAGTCATGTTTTCACACAAAACCTAATCTGCGTGTTGTGCCTGCGTGGGACTCTTACTAACTTTGCTAACACTGAGCAGTATTTACCACAAGTTTTTTTCAAATTAATTGATAAGTAAAATACTAAACGGGATAATTAAATGTACCTCGCGGCCGATATCTCAGAACAAATAATTTATTTGCATTGGAGGGGTTGGACACCTGTTTATATTAGCGCACTCTGATTGAATAAAAAAAGTAAGTTTTGGCTAGCTACGTGTTGGAGACCCCTGTTCTATCTATGATGTAATAGTGTGGCTAAACTCCGCCTCCGCAGAAGAAGATCAACGCCTGCTTCTACATCACTGCCTTTTTAGCCCCGCCCACCGAATTGTGCATGTAGTGTGTAAATAACAAGAGAAGCGAACGCAGGATTACGCTGAAATCAAATGATAAAGATGCTCTGAACACAACAAGACGCTGTGCAGAGCCAAGTTGTGGAAAAACAGTCTTTGCATCCCAACATTAGGAAAGAGTGGATGAACTTTATTTTTAATGAAGACCCAGACCGCGTCAGTAAGAACTCGGTCCTTTGTTCACTTTATTTCACCGCGGATTCGTTTACAAACAAAGCACAATTTGACGCAGGATTTTCAGAAAGATTGAAACTAAAAGACGACGCTGTGCGACTATATTGGATCCGATGTCGCCCCACACAAGTGTGAGGAACTGTTTTCATTACCTGCTCACTATTGCTTTTTCTGTTATTACAGATCGTTGATATGAGTATTCATGCGTTTTTTAATCTAAATCACAAGCAGTGTCCATCTATGAAGGATGTAGTTGTCAAACATACTCAACTGTTAGCCAATCACAGCAGTGACGTTTACTTCCGAGTCTGCCACGCCTCTTCAAACAGAGCGTTCTGATGAGGGCATCAAAACAAGAAAGAAAATAGCGTATTACTTCTGAATTATGATGTTTTTTTATATAACAATATTGATAACATTATAAGTAGACCTCAGAGAACAGAACAAAATAAAAAACAAAGGCAGTTCATGACCCCTTTAAACTTAATGTTTCTTTAAACTAATGTTTTTTTAATTTGTTCCTGATAAAAGACAAGCTAACCTTAAGATATGACACTTAAATTGTCTGTCTGTCTGTCTGTTTTCATTAGTGTCTGAAAGTGAGAACAAATCTCCAACCTATCTGAATGGAAATTGAAGCGAGTTGAAGGATGTTCCAGTTTTCCAGTGAAGGTCGAATACAGCTGATCAATTGATTCAATTGAGTTGCTTTGAATGAAATCATCTGCTAGCTAAATGTAAAATGTGAAATACAGAGTTCTAGCATGAAACTCTAAATGGCGCAGTCCAATAGGTCTAACTCAATCTGACCTAATGACATCATTATCACATGGCACAGCTGATTGGTTCTCTCCTGTATCGGCAGCCAATGAGCTCGCTGCTCAACATTCAAATATATGACTAGTGCTTGCCGTAGCAGTGCAGCTTGCTTCAGAACAGCGAAATCAACATCTAAGATAAGTGAATGCTCTTCTAATCCATATCGCTGTGTGTATTGCATGGTCTGCCTAATTGAATAATGCGAGTATTATGCGAGTATTAAGCATATTAGCAGCAGCATTTAGCATCTGTGTTTATACAGCTGGAGTAAAACGCAGTTTAGAGCATTTGTAATCACTCTGAGGACACGCCGATAGTAACGGACATGAAACAGGTTAAATGAAATAAGCATTTTTGTGTATGCATTTCAACGGGGGTTTGCCATATACATCGACGATTATCCCAGTGTTCACATTCGTTATTTCTAAGGTCGATGTTTTCATTGTGAGGAGTGTGTGGTTGATTTCAGCTGCACGCTGCGTCAGAAGCACACACTTATTGCAGTCATATCAATGACAGTGTTGCGGGAGACGCTGAAGATCACTATACGGCTGTAACAGTTAGTTCAGAGTGAAATGCATTATGGGTAGTAGGGCTGTAAAAAAAAATTCGAATTTCGAATATTCGTCGAATTTAAAATAAAAATCCACATTTTAGGTGTGCGTCAGGCAGCTTTATCAGTGGCGCACGAGATGCGATGACAATGTAAGTTTCGTTGCATTATAATGTTTTTGTTAGCCTATCCAGTTGAACCCACTGGATGCGGCGCTGCTGCGTTGTTCATTCAAAATATTGCGGAAAAAGTGAACATCAATGCGGAGAAGATCTTGTTTGCATCAAAACTGAAACCAAGCCGTTCACACAGAACGCATATTTCGTGCATTTTCTAGAGGGACATCTATCACCGTTGCACTCGCATCTCGCACAAAGGAACCGCATGTTTAGAAAGCCATGTAAAATTAATGCAAGTTCAACTTTGAAAAAAAACATATATCGAGACTTTATGGCAGGGTTTTTTCCCCCCATCCCACTGCATCTAATGTTTTTAAATTAAAAATGTACTCTGTGTGATTGGCTTTCAGCCCTTTGTATTAAACTCTGTATACATATATGATGCTGTTTTGTTTATAGTTGTTTAAGCAACTTGTAACAGATCAAATAAGCTGTTACCTTACTTTCGTGTTTAAAGTCAGTGGTAATTTTCCTCCCAGTCACGAGGGGGCGTGAGGGAGTCATTATCAGTGAAGTTTCTCTAGATCAGAGAACATGAGGAGTGGGAAGTTTGAGGAAAGACACTTGTGAGCTGGGAGTGTTTGCTCTCCCCATGCTTACTCAAACCCTTATTGAGGAACATTGGTGTTCTACATCTCAATGTAAGTTGCTTTATTGTTTCTTTAATATTGTCAGAGGTTTTATGGTTGAAGCCATGTAAAATTAATGCAAGTTCAACTTTGAAAAAAAACATATATCGAGACTTTATGGCAGGGTTTTTTCCCCCCATCCCACTGCATCTAATGTTTTTAAATTAAAAATGTACTCTGTGTGATTGGCTTTCAGCCCTTTGTATTAAACTCTGTATACATATATGATGCTGTTTTGTTTATAGTTGTTTAAGCAACTTGTAACAGATCAAATAAGCTGTTACCTTACTTTCGTGTTTAAAGTCAGTGGTAATTTTCCTCCCAGTCACGAGGGGGCGTGAGGGAGTCATTATCAGTGAAGTTTCTCTAGATCAGCGAATAAGAGAAGTGGGAAGTTTGAGGAAGGACACTTGTGAGCTGGGAGTGTTTGCTCTCCCCATGCTTACTCAAACCCTTATTGAGGAACATTGGTGTTCTACATCTCAATGTAAGTTGCTTTATTGTTTCTTTAATATTGTCAGAGGTTTTATGGTTGGTAATGTACTTTGTATCCTGAACCTCATGTTGTATTGTTTGTTTTGTTTGTCTAGAGGGTTTGTGTATCCACTTAATTTTGAGGGCATTTCAACTCAACTAGTCAATGTTTCTGATTTACTATTTACTTCAACCTTGGAATTTCATCTGAATTGCTCTCTACTCTACTCTGGATTATCGCTGTGGATGATCTTGGACTTTATCCTTTTAACATCCTAAACATCTACAATACTGTGATGAACCAAGGACATTTGTGGTTATTCAGAACTTTAATGTGAATGGACATTTAAAAGGTTTTGCCTCTAAATAGGGACAGACCGACAGCGCTGTTGCACAATATATGGTTTAGACGTGTATGGTATTTGATGTTGTAGTTGTGTGCTCCTAAAGGAAATATAGTATGCTATTCAAAGGTGATTGATCCCGCTTCATTTAAGTTATGTGACATTTGATGTTGGTGACTGTTACAAGCTTAATTAATTCTAATTGGTTTATAAACATTATTTTAAACATTATGCACTTTTTTCACAGATAGTAATGTTATCGTATGCTTTGAATAGTAATATTTATTATGGCCTCAGAAGAGAAGCCAAAAGCTTTTTAAATTTTAAATTAGAACATAATTCGAGTTTTGATCATATTTAAGTACAAAATTCGGATTTTTCGTTTTTCAGCCATTTTGACAGCCCTAATGGGTAGTGTAGTTTGGAGAAATGTGCTCGTGCGACGTGTGCTCTCGCTGTGCTGTGTAATTCAGGAAACGGAGAAAGAACATTTATATTCTGCTTTTATTTCATTTAATTCAGGTCAGTCCACCCAGGGGTTTTTGTGCACTGTAACTCTGACAACTTTTATCTAAAAGAGTAAAAGTAAAATGGCATGCGTTTGGCTAACTTTGTCCGTCTCATCATTGCACGAACATGAATTAACAAGCTGTTGCGCTGCCGCTGGGACTGATGAAGTGGAGAAAGTAAAAGCAGTTATCAAATGACTAAATTAAGATATTTGCTCAGGTGGGTGCTGGGGTCTTATCTATCGGATTGCAACGTATATCCATTTTGTTAATTAAACATTACAAATTAAACATTGTTAAGCCGGTCGGCATGGTAGCCAAGGCTCACATAGTCATAGGCCACTAGTGTTAAGCTGGTCGGCGTGGTAGCCCAGGCACACATAGCCATAGGCCACTAGCATTAAGCCAGTC